TTGGGTTGTCTACGAGATGAAGGAGCTTTGTCGAGGCCAGGAACATGCTCTAAGAGATCTCTCGAAGCTTTTCAGCCGCCTGAGAAGTACTCTCGACGCATTGCGTGCTATCATGGGCCCCGGCACCAACGACACTCCTATCCTGGCGCATCGGTTTGCCTAATCAGCGGAACCGCTCCGATCTCATTCGACTGAACAGGCACTCCCATGCTACCCCGCCGAAGCGTCTTCTCCAAGTCGCCAAACCCATGGCCAACGACCTTCCTATTCTGTCCTCGCGCTTATGTTGGTACTCGTCCCGGGCCACAATCCATTGCAGTTGGCAGCGGAAAGCCAGACTCGCGGCCGAACCACTCACATAGAATTTCGAGCCAACGTCTGGACCTGCGAGCTCCGCCAGCGTACCATTGCCAAGAGCTCTGCTTCCAGCAAAATTACTGTGAACAGCATTGCGCGTCTTCGTTGCGACTCTAAATGCTCGCGACGCCACAGTTCTGCAGCCCGGACAAGCGCAGCCGGGAGGCCCAGCCAAGCGGCACAGCCAGACGCAACTCAAGGGACCTTTGTCGACGTTGATCAGGCCTCGTCAACATGGTATTACAGACCGCGCGTGAGATTCGTCCCGCCGGTTCCTCCGCCCCCGGGGTCCCTCCCTGGCACTCACATACGTGAGTCAACGAGCACCGTCATCCTCGGTACCATCCTCGCCGATATCAATATTAAGCTTATTTGACAAGCCCCCTCCGCGGCTGACTCCATTCCTTCAATCCAGGTCAATTTGTCTTTAAATTGTCAATCGTTGAGCCAAGTCACCTTGCCCTTCTGTATAGCTGCGAGTTCAGATCAGACTTGGACCCTGAATCCCACGAGCCCGGTACGGTCGTGGTAGAGTTACATTAGCGGCCGTCGCGCCAAGGCACACCCCACCATGAGCTCGAGGTGTCTCAACGACGACTCCCTCGGGCCCGGCGTCCAAGGATGTCGAGGCAACTTCGATTTCACCCTCCGATTCGAGAGGATATTTCTAGCCATCATTCCCGCAGCCGTCTTTGCTGCTCTTTCATTACCCCGCATCGCATATTTGTCCAGGAAACCGCGGATCGTGGGCGCCAAAAGCATTCAAGCGATTAAACTGGTTCGTGATGAACAAACCGATGAATGATGACCTTCACGTGAGAATCTAATAAGGTATATAGGCAACGATCACCGTCTTTGCGACGCTCCAATTTGTTCTTCTCGTTCTTCAGACAACAAACAATGGCTCGCGCGTTGATGGCTTCGCCGTGTCAGCGTCAGCTCTCGCTTTCGTCGCAGCCTTGTTCATGCTGGGCCTATCTTACGCCGAGCACTCAAGAGCCCCGAGGCCGTCGATCTTGTTGACAGCTTACGTGTTCCTCCAGATCCTGTTCGACATCGCTCAAACTCGAACGTCCTGGTTGATGGCCAGGACATTCTCAACCCAACTCTTCGCCAGGCTCTTCACCGCGTCGCTGGTTGTGAAGATTGTGATCCTCCTCATCGAGGCACAGAGAAAGACGCGATGGATCCGGTGGACGGCAAGCGAGCACAGCCCTGAGGAAACGAGCGGCCTCTTCAGCCTTGGAGTATACTGGTGGCTCAATCGCCTCTTCCTTCACGGATACCGCAACGTCCTCTCGGTCCGCGACTTGTACTCCCTCGACCAAGGCATGATTGCCGAGACGATGCAAATCACCCTGGACCAGGAGCTGGAGAAAGGCACCTATCGCGGTCAGAAATATGGCCTTGCGCGTGCTCTCGGAAAGGCTCTCGCAGTTCCGCTGCTGCTCCCAGTCGCCCCGAGAATCGCGTTGATTGGATTCAACTTTAGCCAGCCATTCTTCATCCAGACCCTGCTCGAGTACCTGCAGGACCCCGAGGCGCCGAAAAGTACTGGGTATGGCCTCATCGGTGCCGCTGTCATGATCTACACTGGTATCGCCGTCTCAACTGCGTTGTACAATTACTTCTCACAACGGTCTCTTTACATGTCGCGTGGCTGCTTGTCAGCGGTCATCTACAAGAAGACGACCGAGGCCGACATCACCGCTGCTGGCGATGCTGCCGCCGTGACGCTGATGAGCACCGACACCGAGCGCATCATCCGCGGCTTCTACGGGCTCCATGAATTTTGGGCTAATCTTATTGAAGTTGCCCTCGGCTGCTGGCTGTTGGAGCGCCAGCTGGGTATCTCGTTCCTCGCGCCTATTGTCGTCATTCTGGTCTGCACGGGTGTGACGGTCCTGGTCGCCCAAGTGACCGGTGAGCGTCAGGCTCGATGGATGGCCCAGATTCAGAAACGCGTCGGTCTCACTGCTAACGTCATTTCCAACATGAAGTACTTGCGAATCTCGGGCATCACATCGCCTGTCGCCGAATTCGTCCAGAAGATGCGTGTCGAAGAGATCCACTACGGTACCCAGTTCCGATGGATGCTCATCATCACCGCTCTTGCGGCGCTCGCACCCAACATGATTTCCCCAGCTATCACTTTCGCTTTCGCCGCCTCGCGCTTGGATACGACCACTATCTTCACATCATTCTCGTTCTTGGTCCTCCTCAATGCACCGCTGGGCCAGCTTTTCCAGATGGTCCCTGCCGTCGTCGCCGGCTTCACCTGTCTCGACCGCATCCAGAACTTCCTCGAAGCGGACTCTCGTGTTGACTTCCGCCAGTCTTCCCGCCCGTCGATAGACCGATCATCCGGAGACACAACGTTTGGAGACGACACGGAGGGCATCCCTTTGAGCCCCGTTGGTAAGGACAGACGGCAGAGCTCCGAGAGCAAGGGTTCGACCTCGTCCATCTACATCGTGGACGGCAGCTTTGGGTGGACTTCGGACAAGATGGTACTCCGCGACATCACAGCCACGATCCCTTCATCTCAGCTTACCATCGTCGTCGGCCCCGTGGCATCTGGCAAGTCCACCCTCTGCAAAGCTCTCCTCGGAGAGGTGCCGCACAGCAGTGGTCTCGTCTCTGTGCCCTCACGCAACGCAGCTATCGGATACTGCGAGCAAACCCCCTTCCTGTCTAATGGATCCGTCAAGGACAATATCGTCGGCTATTCTACATTCAACCAAGCGAGATACGACGAGATCATTGGAGCGTGTATGCTACAGACCGATCTCTTGCTTCTTCCCTATGGAGATGACACAAAGATTGGAAGCAATGGCATCATGCTCAGTGGCGGACAGAAGCAGCGTGTCTCTCTTGCTCGCGCTCTTTACCTCAACTGCGATCTCATGATCTTCGACGACATTCTCAGTGGCCTCGACAACGACACTGCTGGCGAAGTCTTCCGCCGGGTTTTTGGGCTGGATGGCATCATTCCCCGCCGCAGAGCCACTGCGGTGCTGTGCACGCACGCCATCAAGTACCTTCCCCTGGCCGACCACATCATTGCTCTCGGCGCAGATGGCACGATGGTCGAAGAGGGCACATTCTCTGATCTGATGAAGGACAAGAAGTACGTCGCCAGCCTCGGCGTCACCGGCACGGACTCGGACACGGAGTCCGTCTCCAGCGACATCCCGGCCGATCAAGAAAAAGCAGCGTCGTCCTCGAAACCTAAGCGTCCGCTGGCTGTCGCTGCAGAGTTGATGGAGAAGTCGAGACAGACAGGAGACTTCAAGGTCTATGTCCACTACTTCAGGAGTCTCAATCTTTACGCAGTCACCATCTTTGTCGTAGGCTGCGCTTTTTACTCCCTCTGGAACACTTTCCCCACGATCTGGATGAAGTTTTGGACGGAAGACACTCTCCACAAGAGCAGCGCTTACTACGCTGGCTTGTTCGGTTTCTTCAAGGTCCTGCAGCTTCTTTCGCTCTTGGTCGCCGGTGTTGCCCAAATTATCTGGATGACCTCCTCCTCAGGCACTATTCTCCATCAGCAGGCTCTGCATACCGTCATCCACGCTCCCCTTAGCTTCTTTACCAACACGGACTCTGGCGTCGTCACCAACCTCTTCTCGCAGGATATGACCCTCATTGACAACGAGCTGCCCAACGCCCTCCTTAATGCGGTTATCTCCGGCTTTGATGCAGTGGCGATGGGAGCAGTTATTGCGGTCGCGTCGCCGTACATGTCTATCAGCTACCCATTCGTCATCGGGCTTTGCTGGATCATCCAAAAGTTCTATCTGAGGACCTCGCGGCAGCTTCGTCTACTGGATCTAGAGTCCAGGAGTCCACTCTAGTCAGTAACAGCCTCACATTCAACTATCGCATACGCTGACCAAGTCTAGCACTCACTTCCTCGACACCATCAAGGGTGTTGCCACGATCCGCGCTTTCGGTTGGACAGGTAGGGATATTGCACACAACCAGTACCTCCTCGACACCTCCCAACGTCCCGCGTACCTCCTCGCGATGATTCAGCAGTGGCTTGTCGTGGCGATGCATCTCATGGTCGCGTGCATCGCCGTCGTTCTCGTCGCCCTGGCTACTCAACTGAGGGCAAACTCTGGTTTCACTGGTGCTTCCCTGGTCACGCTCATGTCGTGGGGCGAGACCATCGCTTACCTCATTCGTTTCTACACCCAGCTTGAAACCTCCATTGGCGCTGTCGCTCGTATCAAGACGTTTTCTGAAAGGGTAAAGCCTGAGAGTCTTGAGGGTGAGGACATTGAGCCCCCTGAGGAGTGGCCGGAGAATGGCAGCATCGAGCTCAAAGGCGTCTCGGCGTCGTACAGGTAAGCTAATCACACCTTTGTATCGAACCAAGCTGACGTGAAATCATAGCAATGAGCAAGAGAAGACTATTGATGGCGACAGCACCCCACCAAGCCTAGCCCTCAAAGACCTCACCTTCTCCATCCAACCTGGTCAAAAGGTCGCCCTCTGTGGCCGCACAGGAAGGCAAGTCAACTAATTCCCCTCACATTTCTCACCCACTAACACACCTCAGCGGCAAATCATCCCTCATTCTCCTGCTTCTCCGCCTCCTCGACCCCCTCCCAAGCTGTTCACAAAGCATCGAAATGGACAACACCCCCTTCCACCGCATCGACCGCGCCACCCTCCGCCGACGCATCATCGCTGTGCCCCAAGACGCCGTCTTCCTTCCCGACGGCACAACCATCAAATCCAACCTCGACCCCTTCGACGCCTCCACGGACGCAGAATGCCTCTCCGTCCTGCGCACCGTCCAACTATCCACCTTCGTCGAGGAGCGCGGCGGCCTGCACGAAGGCATGACCGCCGACAGCCTCTCGGCGGGCCAGAAGCAGCTCTTCAGCCTCGGGCGTGCGATCCTGCGCCGGCGCGTCAAGGACGCGCGCTCCAAGCGGCGCAGCGGGGGAATTTTGTTGCTGGACGAGGTCAGCTCGAGCGTCGACCACGCGACGGACCGGCTGATGCAGGAGATTATCAAGGAGGAGTTTGGGCGGTACACGATCGTCATGGTCTCCCATCGGCTGGATATGGTGATGGACTTTTTCGATGCGGTGATTGTGATGGATAAGGGGCGGGTTGTGGAGACGGGCAGCCCGAGGAAGCTTGTCGAGACGAAGGGCAGCCGGTTTGGCGAGCTATGGGCTATTGAGAATCAGGGACGGTCACGAGAGGAATGGATGGTGTAGAGTGCGATAATTTAGACGGCGAATGCCAAAAGTTCCCATTCATATGTTGTATCCTTCTCGTCATTCAGTGAGCCCGTGTCCGTAGATCATCGTCTACTGCGCGGTGTAGCCTCCGTCCACAGGCATGCAAATCCCCGTAATCCATCTCGCGTCGTCACTCGCCAGAAACACAGCCGCGCCAACAATATCCGCCGGCGTACCCACGCCGCGAAAGGGGTGCTGCGCAGCAATCGCCTCTGGACTATGAAGCGTCTTGACCGTGTTCACGCAAATCGCAGTCTTGACATCTACTTCTCGCCAGCTACCTCACTTAAATCATACAAAACAGAAAGCACTTACACCCCGGACAAATCGCATTACAATGGATTCTCGCCTCCGCATAGTCCATCGCAACCTGCCTCGTCAGATTCGACACGGCGCCCTTGGACGCCGAGCACGAAATATTGTGCCGCCCGCCGACGATGCCGAAGATGGACGAGACGTTGACGATCCAGCCGTGGTCGCCGGAGGGAGCAGCGGCTGGGTGAGCATTTGCGCGATGGCGTATTTGCAGCCGAGGAAGACGGAGGTGGCGTTGACGGATATTGTGAGGTCCCAGGTCTCGAGGGGGGTTTCGTGGATGCCGAGGGGCGGGCGGCCTGCTTCGAGGGAGATGCCGGCGTTGTTGACGAGGCTTTTTGGGGTGTTGGTGAGGTGGCTGTGGTTTGGGGGGGGGGGTGGGAGGGGCGGGACTTACACGTCGAGTCTGCCAAACTCCGAGACACATTTTGAGACTAGATTCTGGACTTGCTCGGGTTTCGTCATGTCGGTCTTGATGAAGACGGCCCTGCCGCCGTTATGGCGGATGAGGTCGTCTGTGTTGGCGAGGCTTTCGGATTCGACCTCGGTGCGGGCTGTGGGCTGCAGGTCTGCGCAGACGATATGTACGCCCTCGGCGGCATAGGCTAGAGCTATCCTATCGAGTACGAGATAATATTAGTAAAGGTATTACTTACTTTTCTCTAAATCTACCCTTTTTAAAAGCTTTCTATTCGTAGGAATAAGGGAAATAAAGTCGGATTAATATATAATTCGCTAGTACCCCGTAAAAGTATATACTAACGTTATCTCGTACTTAATAGGATAGCGCGGCTGAGGCTGGAGGAGGAGCCTGTTACTATGCAGACTTTTGAGGTGAGGTGGGCCATGTTGGGTTGTTGGTGGTGTAAGAGTTTATGATTGTCTGGTCTGGAAATCAGACTGCGGTGAATAGGCCTGGTGGATGTAGTTGCTGAAGGTGGACTTCAGTTCTTAAGTTAATGAGCTCCGGGATATAAAATAAGGATGCTCTGAATGTCTTTCAAAAAGCGTATGAAGCTATAATACAGCCGTATCACGATACTTACACGCAACCTGCGATCAAAAGGCAAACTTTCCGGCGGAAGTGTTTGCGAGAATGATGAGCCGCTTGAGCGGAGCACTCCGGTGGATGCCATACCGGCGGATATCTTGCCCGTCGCGTGTATTATACAGACAGACGTCTGATAGCTGCTCTCATAGGGCTCAATTTGAGTTTCGGGAGCACGAGCGGATAGATCCATACTCATGGTACCCATGATTTTGACAGATGGGGGCAATGGTGCCGAGCTGCCAGATTGGGGAAATTTTCCGAGGACTTCCACCCTTGGAAAATTACACGATCATTTTTGCTGGAACACCTGCGTTAAAATTGTCGATATCTGTAAGTCTACCTATGAATTTCCGCGAGGAATGCGCCGAGTTGACCTTTGCAGAGTTGTGCATCGGCCTCGGTATCGTGGCACAGGCAATGACGGAAAGAGTACCTTGGTAGAAACAGCCACATACCTGTCCTCATCGAAGACAGTATACAATCCGGTCTAATAAGCTGTTGTTCAATTGGAAGTCTTCGTAGTCATGTGTCCAGTCACGGTTGTTCTAAAGGCTGCTGAAAAAGAACGCAGTTTGCTCGCAGTAGACGACTCTTGCATGAAACCATGATTGAGGCCTTGGGCTACGGCGACAGACAATTTCTCCGAATCTCCCGCCGCATCCCCGGAGCAAACCCATCGGCGACGGGCTTCTGCCCCGAGCTTCTGTCCCGTCCGAGCCTGCACTGGCCGGCGCCGGAGGTGTGGAGCCTTGGCGGCTTCTGACGGGCGAGCAGCACTCGGAGACGCCGAACACGGAAATGCGCTGGAAAACGGGGCCACAGGCCACTGCACCGGGCCGACGACAGTGCATTGCGCGGCAAATCAATTCGGGCAAGCGTTTAGCTAATTTAAACTCCACGCCGAGCCTACATCTTTGTCTCTGTTTTAGAGTTGTCGTGCGTCATTCCCACGAGCAAGACCGGCAGCGACAGCCGGGACGGATTCTCCCTCGCAGGGATCATGTCCTGGTTTCGGTTGCGACCAAAGAATGCCACCACAGCAGCACTGGTGAAGTGCGCATTTCATGAGCCGAGTGCCGTTGCTGCAACTGTGGCTGCATCGATGCCTACAAGCGTCCTTCGGAACACGCCTTGCCACGGGCTGCCGGCACGGCCTCGCCAGCTACTGTGTCGGATGCGCGGCACGTCTGCTTGAGCTCGGTCTTGGGGCAAGTTGGGTAGTTGGGGGAACTGGGGGGAGTGACGCAGATGGCCACATTTTTAGTTGGCAGTGGTCTGGTCAAACCTTACTCGTCTTACATCATCACCCGTGGGCCGCACGGCTGGCACGGCACCTACATAACGCCTAGAACGGCCAGTTTTCGCCCTCACTGACGACGACGCATCTCTGGGCGAAGCTATCTTTCTACACACCCATTCAACTTGCTCTTGCTGGCGTCTGATGGTGACATACTGAGAGCTGCTGTTCTCTTGAGGTATAACTGCAAACATGTCTTCCCCGGGCCAGACCGGCCTGCCAAAGCTTGGCAACGTCCTCTACCAGACCGTGTTTCAATTCCCCTACAGTGCCTATTCAGTTCCCAGAGTCCCCGACCAAAAGACAGCTTCTGCCTCTTCTTCTTCTGATTCATCGACGATGCCTCACGCACGGACCAAGTCGGAGTATCAGAATGCGCACACGCTGAGCGAGCCGCTTGCCAGCTTCTGCGCGTCGAGCAACACCGTCTCCGGATTTCTTGCTGAGGATCCCACGCTGCAGCCTGGCCATGCTTGGAAGAAGCTGGCCACCCATTACAAGAGCAATTCACATGAGCCAAAGGATATTAGAGATATTGGGCAAGGAGAGGTGAGCGACGATGAGCTGGAAGTCGCGTTCAAGTGTGGGAAATGGGGAACGACGAGGCCAAGCAGGTTATTTCTGAGGGTAAGTAACAATAACAACCATCATCTGAAAATCTTCGTCGCTAACCATGAAAAGTTGTATCACGATGCTCTCTGCACACTCAACGACAATCCCGCTCATGGGGTGGCGAGTCCACCCTTGCTTGGCAGCAGCGGCGTCGTCCCGCTCACCATCCTCTCAGTGTAAGTCCCCCCGAATCAGTGACATCTCACATGAGCTCACAAACCACCAGCATCCCCGACATTGTAAGGCACATGTCAAACCTCATCGTGCGAGCAGAGAAAGAAGTAATCCTCGCGACGAATTTCTGGCAAAACGGCGCCGCGTCAAAGTACATCACCAACGCCATGAAGGAAGCCTCCCGCCGCGCCGGCGAGCGGGGCACCCGGCTAACGATGAAGGTGCTCTACGACCGCGGCAGCCCGAAGCAGCTGTTCGAGCCGCACTACATCGTCCCCGAGAAGGAGTACACGGGCAAGGCCGTCGGTCTGCCGTCGAAGGCGGAGATTCCCAACATCGACTTGGAGGTGATGAACTACCACGACCCCATGCTCGGCACGTTCCACTCCAAGTTCATGGTCGTGGACCGCAAGATTGGCGTGGTGCAGAGCAATAATATCCAGGATAACGATAACCTGGAAATGATGGTCCATGTGGAGGGGCCGATTGTTGATAGTTTGTATGATATGGCGCTGCTTACTTGGCATAAGAAGCTTGATCCGCCTCTGCCGACTAGAGATACGCCAGCTGCGCTCGGTGAGCTGGGTAGCTTTGGACTCAGTCATGACTCCATCTTCACCCCCGAAGGAACGTTGAAGGGGCACAGAGTTGTGCTTAACCCAGCCCAGATACCCCAGCGTGCTGCTGCATACGGCCCCGGCGCCGACCAGATCCTCACACCTAGCGACGCCAACGGTTCCAACGGAACGACCACCACGATTCCCCCGACCCAAGCTCCCCAAAACGGGCACTCAGTCTCCCAAACCGCCCCAGCTTCAGAAGTAATAGCAAACGCTTCGCTACCCGAACACACCCACGAAGACCCGCACTACGACGCCGATATCGCCGGCGAGATCGCCCGCGTGCAAGCCGCAGTCTCCGCAAAACCCAACGCGTCGCAAATACAGGCTATCAGCCGGCATCTCAACCACACCATAAACAAGGACTTCAAGGGCACCGCCCCCGAGTGCGACCCGGCCGACGAGATGACGCCGTACATCCCGCACCCCACGCACGAGCCGTTCCCGATCGCGCTCGTCAACAGGCCGCCGTACGGGCCGCCGAACCACAAGTCGGTGGGCAACCCGCAGAACGCGGCGTGGCTGTCGGCGCTGCGCAATGCGGAGAAGAATGTGTTTATCCAGACGCCGACGTTGAATGCGGAGCCGCTGGTGCCGGCTATGATTGAGGCGTGCGAGCGGGGGGTGGATGTGTTTGCGTATGTCTGTCTTGGGTACAATGATGCTGTAAGTTTTGAAGACGAGTGCTGGACTCGATGATGATTGCTAATACAACTCAGGGCGAGTTGTTGCCGATGCAGGGAGGTCATAACGAGATGGTCGCCGCCCACATGTACGAGAAGCTCTCACCTCAAGGGCGACAACACCTCCACTATTTTTGGTACATCGGCAAAGACCAGACGCAACCTATCATCGCAGAGAAGAAGAAGCGTTCATGCCACGTAAAGCTCATGATCGTGGACGAGTCGATCGCCATTGTCGGCTCCGGTAACCAGGATACGCAAAGCTGGTTCCACAGCCAAGAGGTCAACATCATGCTGGAGAGCCGCGACGTGTGCAAGGTCTGGATCGACGGTCTGAGGCGGAACCAAAACACGCATCGATATGGAGCACTGAACAGGGAAGATGGCGTTTGGAGAGATGAGAACGGGAAAGAGGCGGATGGCGCGACGGGAGTTGATCCTGGGCGGTTCAGCTGGGCGAAGGGCTTGATTGGGGCGATCAAGAGATTGGAAGGTACCGGTGGATTTTAGAGGCGCTGCTGGATGGTGAAATAATGAGGTTAAGATATCCGAGGAATACCCCAAGTAATGAAATTGAATAAAACTTTGCATGTTCATGTCTTGTCTTATGTCATTATAGATCATGGACTACTCCTCCTGCACCAGCAACTGAACAAGCCTGTCTTGCTGAACAAGTTTGCCAGATGGCAATGAGAGATGGAATACTCAACACGGCAGCAGTTCTACTACCGTCTTGCTCAAATTTTCTCGGAGTGGATGGCGTGGTTTGCGTATCCCATGAACTTCACGCACAACTGCGCACTCTCCAGCAGCCGCTTCTTCGCGCCACCCCTCGCATCACGGCCGGGAAATGCACTATGCGCATCCTCGAAATCCAGCGCAGAGATCGCCTTCCAGATTCCATGCACATCATCAGGTGAGAGCGGAATCTGCATGCAACCCCAATCAGTTACTCATCCCCAAATGGAATCCCATAAACATCACTCACCATGTTCGGGTAAGACCACATAAACGCAAAGCTCGCCGTCCCCTTCGGCCGATCAACATGATACACCCCACTGGGCACCACCATCACCGAGTCCGCCACAAACAGCTTCTTCTCGCTCTTCCACAACAACACCGAGCTGCCGGGAAAATGCCCGCCCACCTTGACGACCAGGAACTCCCCGCCGACGAACTCCATCGTCTTGGCCTCCCACAGCTCGTGCGCCTTGCCGCGGCGCGTCAGCCACTCGCCGTCCTCGGCCGACACGTACACCTTGCACCCGAAGGCCTCGGCCCAGTGCAGCGCGGTCGAGAAGTAGTGCGGGTGCGAGATGACGATGGCATCGAGGCCGCCGAGCGCCTTGACGCGCCGCACCGTGTCGGCGTCGATGTACGTGATGCAGTCCCAGAGGACGTTGCCGCCGGG